ATCAAATACTTATTTCATGCAATAAAATGGAAATTAATTATTTAAAAATCATACAATGTGATTTTCTGGATTTTTTTTTTAGATTCTGTCTCTCACAGTTGAGGTGTACCTACGATGAAAATTACAGATCTCTCCATTCTTTGTAAGTGGGAAAACTTGAAAAATCGGCAGTGTATCAAATACTTATTTGCCCCACTGTATATATATATCATGTCACCATTTAGCAAAGTAAGTGTGTGTGTGTATGTGTGTAATGGACTCTTTTTTCAGGTGCAATTTTTTTTTTTTTTTACAATTATATATATATTTATATAGATCCATTTTATTTCACCATTTAGCTATATAAGTGTGTGTGTGTGTGTGTGTGTGTGTGTGTGTGTATAGAATGAAAACAACATGAATGTGATTATTTTGTTTTGCCTTATGTATTTTGGTTATGTATTTATTTACATGTGCATTTAATTACATCCCTTTTTTAAATATATACATTGCTGGTTATTTACATTTATCACAATTCTATGTTGGTTATATTTTGGTATTAAACTCCAAAAAGTTCATGAACTATATACTAACGATATTTACAACTATATGGGCCTACAATAAATGCTAGCTAATCTAAGTACATGATTTCACTTTTATATTTTTACCTTAAAGAACAAATCTTCTGTTTTTCATTGCAAAAAGGCCTGCACATGTATCCAAATCCAAGCTGTTAGTGATTGATTTTTCATGCATGTAGCATTGTACGTCTGAAAGGAGTCCGAATCCTTGACAGTGTAGAGAAGGACCTTTCACATGACGCAGAGGACACTCCAATTACTAAAGCCGTTACATACAACTTATGCAACTCAGGAAATGCTTCCTTGTACCCGTGCATATGTTTGCACTTTGCTGTAAGAGCTGATTTGGTTGGAAACTGTTTCAGCAACATAGGTTTGGCAACACACATTTCTTTTTCACTACCAGCAAGAAGCTGGAGTGGGCTGAGCATACTGGAATCTAGAAAAGGTGGAGACTGTGGGAGGAGTGAGTTCACCGCCTTTATCAATTCAAGATTTTTTTACTGAGAATCTTCTTCCCATCTCAGCAATAGCTCTGTCCAGAATATGCAGCAATGATCTTTTCAGAAACATACTTGGATCATTAGAAGAATCTGAATCAGTGTGACCAACAGAGGTGAGGACAACACTGTCTGACGGGTGTTTGTTCACTGTTCGTTTTCTTTTTTGGCCATGGATATATCTGCTCTCATTTCAAACTGATCCCATGAAGGATCTGTCCTAATGTATTTTAAAGCCTGCAGGGAAACATTGATGACCTCACTTGCTGTACATACATTTACAGTGTTACCCTGGAACACAGCATTTGCAGGTTTTAAGACCCCAAGTATTTTTACAAGGAAATCGCCAATTTTGAAGTAGTTGTGTGTTTCTAGCTGCACCATCAAGCCAGATGCTTCTGTTCTGATATCCATGGGTGCAGTACTGCTGTGTGAAACCAGACAGAGAAGACATGGCCAAAACACCCTCCTTATTGTCTACAAGACACTTTGTCACATCATACTGGCTTGTCCACCTAATCTCCAGCAGCCTTTTAAGGCAAGGGACATCATAGTTATGTATAGCATACTGGCGATGGAAAAGTGAGTGAAGTGCTGAAGACAAATCAAAAAACGTTCTTACACAAGGTTCTGCTTGAATGGCATGCACTACTGCTAAGTGAAGTTGGTGGTTGTAGCAGTGGATGTATGGTATTTCTCTACCAAGTTTCTTGCAGAGCTTGCACCCCACCCCTGATACCACTCATGACGGAGGCACCATCATAGCACTGACTGATGATTTTGTCAGTACTATAGCCTTGATCATCCAGGGCTGTAAGAATTTGTGAAGTAATGTACTCTGCATTCAACTGCTCAAGATCAAGCAGGCCGATTAGGTGCTCTTCTGGAACTGAGTTGCACACAAACCTTATCACTAGTGACAGGTTCTCCACATTACATCTATCTCGAGTTCCATCACTTTTTATACAGAATTCTGATGTGTCTGTACTTTCATATTTTTGTTTTACCTTATTCAGCACACACTGTGCTAATGTGTCAATTATTTCATTTTGCATGTGGTTAGAAGTGTATTTTGCAACGGTCAATGTAAATCTTTAAAGCCCTGAAGGGGCACACCGAAGTCTGAGCGTCCGCATCACGCGAGGTCAATGACTCAGAAGACAGGGCAGACAGCGAAACAGTCTGCGCTCTGAAGGGGGTAGATAGTGATTTAGGCACGTAGCCCGGCCTCAGCCGGAGAGTGACGCTGCAGTAGCCGGGTCTGAAGCAAATACAGTCACTGTCCACAGAAAACGCATGTAAATTCCCTATGCGCTTAGCCGAAGCGAGGGCAAGAAGATGTGTACTTTTGAGAGATAACTCCTTCATATTAACGGATGCTAAAGGCTCGAATGGTGGCTGTGAAAGAACTCTTAACACCACCTCTAGGTCCCAGGGCAGGACTGAAGGCGGACGTGGGGGATACAATCTTCTCGCTCCCTTAAGAAAACTCACCACCAGTGCGTGCCTACCGATCGATTGCCCGCCTAGCGGGGAACGAAACGAGGCAATAGCGGCCACATAGACTTTCAGTGTTGATGGCAGAGATCCACTATCCAGTCTGTACTGCCGGGTCAATATGAACATCATGGCACCATTACACAAACACTCCCCATTTTAGAGCATACAAACGCCTCGTGGAGGGCGCCCGCGCCTCCGAGAGCGTGTCGAGCACATGAGAATGCAGAGCGTTCAGCTCCTCTGATATCCCCGAAGCAGCCACACATGAAGGCTCCATAACTCCGGGTTCAGGTGCCCGCTTGAGACAGCAAATCCTTCCTGATGGGGATCAGCCAGGGCGGCGCCACCAGCAGCTCTGTCAGGTCCAGGAACCAAGGCTGGTTCGGCCAGTTCGGGGCGATGATCATCACCGAAGCCCCCTCCTCCCTGACCTTGCATAACACCAGTGGCAATATCTTGATTGGAGGAAACACATACAGCCTGGCTGCTGGCCAGTGCGATGTTAGAGCATCCCCTTCCAGAGGGGAGTGAGACAGGGAGAAGAACAGCGCACAGTGCGCATTCTCGCTCATTACGAACAGATCCACCTCTGCTCTCCCGTAGCGGGTCCAAATTATCCAAACCGACTCGGGGTTCAACCTCCACTCTCCTTGAGGAATCCCCTTCCTCGAAAGCATGTCCGCCCCGCGGTTCAGGAGACCGGGGATGTGCGCTGCTCTGATGGAGAGAAAGTGACGGTCCGCCCATAACAGGAGATTCGCTGCTTGTTTGTACAAAGCCCTGGAACGTACGCCTCCTTGGTGATTTATGTACGAGACCACAGACATG